GTACTGTACTAATATTTAAGATTAAACTGAGAGTTTTTTACGAAAAAGGCAATTTTTTTTGTATCCATGGCAACTATGCATGTGGATGATTTTCAAAAACGGAATAGAAAATTTTGGTGAAAATCTGACTGAAATGAAATGATCAACCAAAATTTTTGCCTTTTAAAGTAAAAAATCGCCTTAAAATCCTACTTGGGTGTTAAAATGATATCATTATTGATACTAATATATCATAGTATATGTAGCAAAGTTTTCGGATAAAAAAAAAAAAAAGCTAGCTAGCTTTCTCTACGAAATTTTGAAAATTTTCAATTAACATAAAATACATGTCACGCAAATTTATCACAAAAGCGATCGATAAATTTAAAACTGAGGAAACTAAATTCTATGATGTTATCGTTTACATTGGAAAAGAGCCAGATATTAAAGAATTTCATTCGAACTTTGAAATTTTGTACGATAAGTCCGATTATTTTAAAGGAATACTTTCTAATAAAGATATAGAAAAAAAAAATGGAAAATATGTAATTAAGGAACCAAATATCAATCCTCAAGTTTTTGATGTAATTACTAAGTAATTATATTAAAGTTTTTATTATGATAACGTGTACATTTATGTTCATTTATTTTAATAATTAAACTTAAAATATTTATTTATCTTAATTTAATTAGGTATCTTTCTACCGGAAAAATCAACATTACTAATAAAACTGGAATAGAAATATTAAATATTATAATCACTTCTGATGAATTAAAGTTGAATCAATTGGTAAAGCTCGCAGAAAATGAACATCAAAAATTTTTAAAAGATGATCCAGTTAAAATTTTTCAAATAATTTATTATCACAAATCTCTTAACAACATAAAAGAATTCTATTTGGAAATGATTTGTCTAGAACCTAGAATTTTATTTGATTCTGCAAAGTTTATCGATTTACCTGCTCCTCTATTGGAAGTTATTTTGAAACGAAATGATTTAAACTTAATTGAAATTGAAATTTGGGAATATTTAATTAAATGGGGACTAGCACGAGATGAAATTCTTAATGAAGAAGTTTCCAAATGGAATCGAGAAAAATTTAAGATACTTGAAAGGATTATACATGAGTTTATTCCATTGGTTAGATTTTACGATATTTCTTCTGAAGATTACTTTGATAAAGTTAGACCTCATGAAGGAATTATACCTGAAAAATTACAAGAAGAAAATTTAAAATATTATTTAATTCCAGGATATACACCAAACAAATATATATCAAGAAATTGCATTGAATCTATATTAATTAACCCAAAACATACTGTATATTTTGTGAATTGGATTAATGGAATAATTGGAAAAGCTAGATACAAATTTAAACTTTTATATAGAGCTAGTAGAGATGGTAATACAGCTGCAGCATTTCATGCTAAATGTGATAACAAAGGGGCTACTGTTGTTATAGTAAAAATTAGAAATTTAGATCAAATAGTTGGAGGATATAATCCACTTTTTTGGGATTCAAGTAAAACTGATAAGTCTACAAAAAATAGTTTCTTATTTAAATTTACAGACAAAAATAATCTTCTAAGTGCAAATGTGGTTTACAGTAAAGGTGATCAATATTCTGTACGATGTTATGTAAGCAGTGGTCCATTTTTTGGTTTTGGCGATTTATATGTAAATTATTATCCTGATGTTTGGTATAGTTATATACATTCTTATCCAACACTTAATTTACCAAGCAGTTTCAGTGCTGATGATTATGAAGTATTTCAAGTTATTAAAATATAATTACTATATATTGATATATGTTGTTATTTTATAATTAAATATAACTTTTATTTAAAGAATTGCAAGTTTTCTAAAAATAACAAAAAAAATTCAAATTTAATCATCATACAAGGATTCGAGTGCGGACGGGTAACTTTTTTACTTTTATTATCGAACAGTATCTATAATTTATGGGTATTATACAGTGGTATTTACATTGGTTCAAAGTCACTTCGTGATATTAACCAATATAAATACCTGCTACTGTATTTATTAATAATTTTATATTCTTATTACTAGAAATTAATTTATTCCAACAAATACTACCTTTTAATCATTATATTATGATATGTCAAATCACTCGCACACAATCACGTGATAATTTGCCAATCAAAATGCGTTATTCATTATATATATAAAGTTTTAAATCGAGCCGCGTTCCTATATTTTGTAAAATTTTCAGTACAGACATAATAACCAAAGCAATTAAAGGTTGGAAACCATTGTTTAATTGAAATATTAATTATTAACTAATTGTATATATTTGTCCAAATATTTTTAATTATAACTTTAAAGTTCAAATATTTCGTGAGTCAACTGCATATATGGTTTTGGTGCAAATTTATGTCGATCATTTTCTGATACCCGGTTTTCATTCCTTAAGTAATGCTCTTTATGTAAACCCATTCATATTCTGACATATTTTAATACATAATATTTGAATAATTTGTTTTTTAAAATAAATTTCTCACATAATTTTTTACTTTTATTTGACGCCACGCCAGATTCTCATTTCCTGCAGATCCTTTGCAGTTGACTCGTGGATCACGAGTTAAAATGTAAATTTAAGTATAAAATACACAATTACCTTGTTGTTATATTAGATCTCTTATAATTTTTATTAAAATAATTAAAATGTAAAGAATAATTAAAAAAGTCTATAGAAAAATACATAAATACTACATGCTAACAAAGTATTAACAAGTAAATAATGAATAATCCATATGTAAAACCTATAAACTGTACATGTTGTCGAAACTCAGTAATTTCGGCATAACTGAAACTCTACCGAAAGTGGAAGATTCAGGCCGAAATTGCCCGGCCGGCACTATACATTTGGCCCGCATTATGAATTTTATTTAACATTTGTGACTTTGTGTACCCAGGTGACCAGGTCCCAGGCATGAATTCCTTGTGTCCTGGTTTATATTAAGTCACGTGAACTATAATTCTGGCCGGCACTACAATTTGACAGAATTCCAAATAATTTTCGGCCATGTTCTTAAATTTCGGCCAGAGTTTCGCTTCGGATTTCGAACCTTTCGGATTCGGCCATATTTTCGGAAAATTTTGGCTACATGTATACTATAAACTAATAATAATAATATCTTACCGTATATGATATAGCTAAAAATTGTGTTAAAATGTGATAATTCGTGTATTAAGTACCTAAATATAACTTTTTGCAAATAAATATGTTATTGTTCAGTCGATTAGGAATATGCGGATTTTAATGACCGATATTTTTATGAGACATTTAATATTGAAAACGTTATTAGTAACATTAATATCCTATTGGTCACCGCAGTATTCCTAATGACAATTATTGGATGGAGATATCGGTCGAAGACCGATATCTCTTTTCCCATCCAATAACTATTTAATATATATAACTTTAGAAATATTAATTATTGTCTCTAAATATAACAAAAAGTATTTTTACGGTCATTTTAGCATTATTCAACAATCCGAAGAAAGTACGATCGAAGTGTCATACGGTGTCTATTCATTAGAAAAATACGTATTGTGATCGGCGTGGATTTAATTTTGGATCAAATGATCAATATCAGATTAACCATATTTGAAACGGCAATAATAAAGCCCTGATCACTGCTATCGACACAACTAAAGAATTTATTGTTGAATAAAATTCTACTTACTAAGTTTAACATATGCTTATTGTAAAATATTTGATTGGATCTGTTGCTTGTGCTTGTAAAGCCTGAATTAGTTTCATTTTATTTAAAGAGATAGTGCAAACTAGAACAAATTAGTATTGACTATGTAGTAGTCATTTGATATATGTTAATATATTAATTTGTTATCATTGTATAATGATTTAATAATTAAAATTTTACACTAAAATGATTGTTTATACTGCTTTATATTAATAGTTTAATACAAAATAAAAGAAAAGTAAATTGTTTATCAAATGTATATTTTTAAGATCTAACTTAATTTATTAATTTTATCAGGAAAAATATGTTATTCTTGATTAGGGATGATAAATTGACTAGTTTTGACTTCATTGTATTTGTATAATCTACTGTTTCAGGCATCCCGATTTTGGCAAGGGAAAATTGAGATTTTATAATTCTAATTTAACAAAAAAAAATTGATATATTTTTTTTTTGTTCATTTCCGGTAATGATAAAAAAAAAAAATTTTTTTTTATGATGAGTTTTTTGATCGACAAAAATAAATGAACACCGAACATTTAATAGAACAGTAGAGTTTTTGCATAAATTAGCGTCAAGAAAATTTTTTCACTGTTATTGACATCGATATCGATATTGACTCTAACATTGACGTTGACATTGACATATTGCCATTAGTATAAAAGTATATAAGATTTGCTGGAGAGTCCTTACCAAAAAGGAAATGTTTTAAATTTCACGACAATCCAGCATGCAGTGTATCAATTATAAGACAAGAAACGATAAATGATCAACAAATGATCAACAAAATCGTTGCTAACTTAAAAATGATCATTGAAGAATTAATTTCTATTCGTAATATCTCTCTTTCTGGTATGTATATATATATATATATAGGCATTGCTAAAAATACAGTAAAAAAAAAGTGAAATTGAAATTGAAGGAACCTATTTTTAAGTGATTTTTATTATGATAATGATGAATTTTGACTAATCCGCGCAGTTCTATGAATGTTAACTACAATTAGTAATATCGTGAGAAGGCCATATAAATAATATTGTATTTATATAAATGGTACATTTCATTTATTATTTAATTATTTATTATATTATTAAATTGATTAACGAAGTTATATTCCTTTTGTAGTTTTATCATTTGCAATTTCAACCATATGTCGATCGTTGATTGGTGAGTTGATCAGAAAATGAGTTATGTTGTCCGATTAAAAAAAGAGTTATTGTTGATTACTTGATTAAGATTCATATCGGTCCCAAAATTGTCCGGTCCACCGATGAATGATCTTTAACCACGTGATATTTGCCCAATCAAACATGAAACGCAACACATGTGATATATTAAACGTGATCGGTCTGATCGGAGGTTTTTTTTTAATTTAGTCGATCACGGAATAAATAAATTCATTAATCTACATAATCTACATGATTATTTTATTAGTTATCAAACTTGACTCATTTTATGTAGTTAATTAATATATAATCAATATTCCTCAATTCCTAATATAAGATCATCATACATGAAAGATATATAATAAGGGGGAATAGGGGAATTCATTTAGTTAGAATTTGTTCAAACTTTTTACGGTCAATTCTTAAAAAAAATTTTTCCCCAATAAAAAGAAGCTTCTATTATTTATTTATTAATTATCATAATGAAAATTTTATTCCTATTATTAATTTAAGTGGTTCATAATTTTTACACATGATTACATGTTTTTTTTTTAACTTTAAGGAGTATACGTGTATATATATATATATATATGTTTTTTTAGAATGAAAATTATTATTAAAATGCTTCTTAATTTTTTATTTCTCACTGTTCTCATTACGTGCATTCATGCATCTAAAGTAATAGTGAGTGTTGGTGGTCTAAAAGGAGAAAATATATTCGTACCGCAAATCATACACGCCAGAGTTAATGACCAAGTAAATATAATAATTATATTTATAATAAACTTCAATCTAACAAATTCATAACTTATTTATTTATTTATTTTCTTGTAGATTATCTTTAGTTGGGTTAGCGGTTCACATAGCGTTGTTGAATCTGATTTACCAAGATCTTGCGCAAAATCAGCAAAAGCTGATGCTTTCACTTCCGGAGGTGAATTTACAGCACCTAATAAAACAATGGTTCTCTTAGCTACCGATATTGGAATAAAATATTTCTATTGTGATGTTCCTGGTCATTGTGAAAATGGAATGTATGGTACTATCATAATTTCAGATGATTTATTAACTCTTACTCCTACTCTCGAAGTATCTTCAGCTGGTCCTGAAAGTACACTCATAAATGATAACGGATCTCCTTTATATTTTGAGTCAGCTCAAACACCAATTATAATAATAGGAACACTAGTTGGTGCTGGCGTACTAATAATAGTAGGAAGTATTCTTTTATATATGTATTTCAAAAGAGAAAGAAAAATGAAAGAACAAAAAATATTTAGTAATGATCATAATATTTTTCAAATCTATTCTCAGGTTGTGACGCAAGAATAGCAAAAAAACAAAAAAAAAAAATTATTGTAATTGAAATATTTTGTATTTTTTTTAATCATTTGAGATCATATCAGCATAAAACATACTTGAAAACAATTGTAAATAGTATAACAAAAAATCGATTTTTTTTTTTAGACAACAATTCAAATTATTAGATTGAAAATTTTTTCATAGTAAATCTAATAATAAAAAAAGTGTTAAACCTGTGATATCACTTTTTTTTTTGATATTCATCAATTATAGAACATAATTCCCATAATAGCGATTCAAAACATTAAATTGACAGAAAAATTCTGAGCAATTTCATGAAGTACAATGAATAATTTAGAGGTTGGAACCGTCCAAATAAACCGTAAATTGGTTAATAACGGTTAATAAAATAGTTAACATTAATTAGTTACAACCTATTAATTATTAATGGTCTAAGTGGTATAGTTTGATTTTAACTTAATTAATTAATCAGAATTAAAACAACTTTGCAAAAATATTGAAAATCAAATTGATGCAAAAAAATGATTTTACTATCTATGAATAATCTTAATGAGAAAGTTCTAATAAATTATATATATATATATTTTTGCAATCATTGGATAGCAAATAATTAATTCAGATTATTTTCTTTCAGAGTTATTAACGTTAATTGTAAAAAAAAACCTATTTCATTGGATAATTATTGTGTGAGTTTTTTTGTAAATATGTATAATAAAATAGTAAAACCGGGGAATAATTAAAATAATCCCCGTCGCACTAAATGTCACTCATGATTACCTTCTTACTAATTTCTTACAAATGATTCACTATATTATAAATGATTAGGAATCTTTGTATTATTTATTTCATGGAGAATTGTGAATAATAGGGCTTTTGTCAGTCATATAAAAGAGTAATCTCCAGGAGCATGTCACTCATTAATTATAACACTCATTTAATATAACTATTTAAACTCTATTTATAAGACTTTTAAATAGTAATTGAGATTTACCGAGTATTCACGGAGAACTACGGTTATCATATCATTGATTTTCGAATTTTCACTGCATGATATTCCTGTAAAATAACTTATTCATGTCACTCTTCCGTTCATAATATATCCTTTTAAACTAATAATGATAGACTTATTCCATTGATAGACTTTTATCCATCTTTTTAAATAAACTTCATCCGTGAGAATATCAAGAAAAAAATTCGGGAATTATTATTAGGAATCTTGTAATAACAATAAATATACAATATATGTGTTAAATAAGGGGAATTTTTATATGGGAGGATTGGGAGGTGTCTATAAAGGGGGTCAACGAGAATATTTCACAAAACGCCTCTAATTGCCAATTTATTGTTCAAAATTTTGCCTCATACACTCTGCACATGTACCAAGTCATAATATCAATTCATCGACCAACGTTTCAATTTCGCCTACAGAAGTTTCATCGGCAGTTCATTTCTCTAGCGCAAAGCTATTTTAAAGAAAATTAAAAATTTTTTTTTCTAGTTCTTTGCTCATCACAGCTAAAGATTAACTGATATGTGATAATAATTAATAAAAAAATTTAAAAAATTTGAGGCTACATATTAATAATTACTAAATTAGGTCAATATTAAAAAAAAAGAAAAAAAATTATTTTTACACAAAAGACGTAATAATATGTTTAAATTTTACCATATATGTGATTGTCGATGATGTAACTATCAATGAGTTGAATATCTGAATGCGTCCCAATTATCTACATATAATTCTTTAAAAAATCTTCCCGTTGAACTTTTAATTATTAAATCTCGTAACCGTGGAGAATAGCATATTGTAACTTGTAACTTTTTCAAAACCCAATACATTATTGATCATAATAATCAAATAATGTTTCAGTCAAGTTTTTGCAAATTTATGAAACATGCGAGAAATATCTTTATCTATACTCTATATAATTAATTATTTATCAGTTATCATAATTAATGTAATATTGGAATTATTGGAATTTAAAATTGGTATTGTTTATTTGATTTTGTCATTCAAATATAGTAATAAACAATAAATACTTTATTAAATTACTTAGTATCAACAACTCTTTCGAGAAAACGTCTAGATAATTTTTTTTTGTGGGATGTTGCCCTATAAAAAAAGAAAATTCGGAATTTGTCCTGAAAAGTATGGAAAATGTCCGGAAATTTTCCATGCGTCCGGAAAACATTCGGAAACGGTCACGTTTTGGAACATTTTCCGGACGCACAAATTCCAGACATTTTCTTGACACTCCAGAATTTGTCCGGAATTTGTCCAGAATCGAGCGTCCGGAAAATGTTCCAAAACATGACCGTTTCCGAATGTTTTCCGGACGCACGGAAAATTTCCGGACATTTTCCATACTTTTCAGGACAAATTCCGAATTTTCTTTTTTTATAGGGTTGTGGTTGCTTTTAGTATATGATACCATGAAATAATATATAGTATACAATATATAAAAATTTGATTTAGTTCTATTATTATTCTATTTTATAATTCCTGCAAATTATTCTAGGTAGATAAAGTTATCATGTATATTTATTATTAAGAGATACTAAATTTATTAAAAAATTATAAGAGTGATTAATATTTTTCTTTAATTTACTAGGAACGATCCGAATCGGAAGAGTAAAGTATAAACTAATCACGTGCTTCGCTCTGGATTAAAAAAAAAATCTTAAATATTTATTTATTTCTAAACTTTAAGTGAAATTTGTCTGATTTACAATGAAAAATTTATTTTATTTTATTTTTATTTCTATTCCTATTTTTATTTCACAGAGAAAAATAATATCAGTACAGACTACAAGAAAGTATATACAATAAATTCTAAAGTAGAAACTGTATAATAGCCGCCCGCCCTAGAACGACATTTCTCTAGTGGAGAGTCCATCTTATGTACGCAGGAACGCATGTCTCGTTGTCACATGATTTAGATTAGCTTAGGAATATTATTGGCCGAATGTCACGTGCCCGAGCTTGTAAAAAAAATCTCGTTATAACTTCCCGTTGATTGTCTTAATGAAAATTTTCAGTTTACCCGCATGCTAATTAATTAACAGTCTTTGGTGCCAAGTTTCGGTGAGAATCTTATGGAGAGATGTTCGGAATTTTAGTACAGTGGTACTTCATATTTTAATACTTTACTTTCTTCCAGACGAGTCCTATCTAATAATAGATTATTATTTCAACCACAACTAACTTTAAAACTGCCAATTTTAATTATGCAACCTTTTGTAAGGTTCTATATCGAAGTTCATTCTAAAAAGCTTTTTAAAAAATTAATCATATATTTCAACATAAAATTCAAGTAAAAATATTGATATAGTGTCCCAAAAATATTTAAACTGTTGTAAAACAAGCACATTCTTTAAAAAAATTGATAGTTTATACACTCCTACTATACTACTCTGAATCAAAAGACTAGTACTGTAGAACTTAATTGCACATCTCTATTACGTCAATCACTTTCATTAATTTGTAGCTACTGATATTCGTCATAGGAGCCTAAAAAATATGAAAATACATTAAATTAGGAGTTATTAAGAAGGGTCTGGTTCATTTCATCGACAATCATTTCATCATATCACCGACACCGACAATCATTTCACCGACATAAAAAATAAATATTGAATAGGAGATATTTTATTATAAAAACTTTTTTTAGTTATCTAATAAGTATTGATACTTACTTTCATCTTAGACGGGTTAGTAGATAGAATAACATATAGTTATATCTACTATATTTTTTATATTTTTTTTTATAATTTCATTAAAATAATTAAGAAATGCGCGTATTAACCTTTTTAGTTTTTGATCATCACGACAAAACATTAATACATTTATTAAAAAAAATAACTATTGTGAAAAGTACGTGTTATTCCCCTAAGGAAATCTAAAGTAGTAATTTCTTGTATTTTATTAAAGAAATACTTGTTACTAACAATAAAGATTCCCTATTTCATATAAAGATATATGTAAAAATATTTATGAAATTTTTATATTTAATTTTATATATATTTGTCGGTGAAACGTTTGTCGGTGAAATGATTGTCGGTGAAGTAATTGTCGGTGAAGTAATTGTCGGTGAAGTAATTGTCGGTGAGTTAAACGCGACCCATTAAGAAATTGAAGTTACAATTCAATTACTTGGAAAAAAATATTGAAATGTTAAAAGTCTGATTATACAATTAGAAATCATTTGACGAATGTTTAACACGAGAAACTGGTCGGTAAAAAAAATTTTTTTGTGGGTTTTTTATATTTCAATTGAAAGGCTTTGACATGTTATGTTTTAAACATATTTTTTACGCGTTTAAAGCAGTAGCTTTTTTTATAATAGATTTGATTCTTATTAATATTGGAAGAAATATAAATTGTTGCTAAAAGAATAAAAAAAAATTTATGTATATGAACTAACTATAAAGTTGTTTTAAAAAAATCGAATTTTTTGATGAAGCTTTGATTTTACGAGAAGAGAAAGCGATTTCCATTTCATTTTGAAATTTTTTTTTGAATATTAGGTCATTTTTACGAAAGGAGAAAATATTTAGATCAAAAATGGAAAGTAATTCCATGAAAAAAGAAAACTTCATTCTTACGAAAAGAGAATAAATTTAGACCAAAAATGACAAGTAATTTCCATTTCTAGTTAAAAAAACGTTAGCTTCACCCATACAAAAATGCGCCCAATTTTCAATTCGGATATGATCATCCATTTGGTACAATGATTAAAAATATGGATTTTCAAATGAGTATTTCTTTTTTTCTTGCGTAAAATATTTTTAAATATTTTAATATTTAAAAATTTTAGTTAAAAGAAAATGTCCTATAACTTTGAATCTGGTTTATCCGAAGCACTTGAACAATTACTCAAAATAGAATCGTATTATGATGTTATCATTCATGTTGGAAAAGAACCTAATTTTAAGGAATTTCGTGCTCATTCTAATATTTTATGCTGTAGATCTGAATATTTTAATAAAATATTGTCTACTGAAAATATCGAAAAAAAAGAAGGGAAATATATGATTAAGAAACCAAATATTTCTCCTCAAGTTTTTGACATTATTCTTAAGTAAGTATTTACGTTATCAAAATTTTCAAACGTTTTTTTTATAACATATTTTTCATATTTTCAGATACATTTATACTGATCAAATTAATATTGCTAATAAAAATGGAACCGAACTTTTAGATTTAATGATTATTTTTGATGAATTAATGTTGAAAAAATTAACTAAATTCACCGAAAAATTTATTATTAAAAATCAACAACGATTCTTACAAAATGATCCAGTAGGAATTCTTCGGATAATTTCCTATTGTAAAGCACTTGTTAATTTGCAAGAACTTTGTTTGGATAAAATTTGTTCTGGTCCAGAAATTTTATTCAATTCTGATAAATTCACTCAACTATCCGCTCCTTTATTGGAAATTATTTTAAAACGTGATGATTTGAATTTAAATGAGATAGAAATTTGGGAAAATTTAATTAAATGGGGATTAGCACAAGAACAAGTACTTAATCAAGACGTCTCTAAATGGAACAAGGATTATTTTAATATCTTTAGAAGGATTCTTTACAAGTTTATTCCTTTGATTAGATTTTATGAAATATCTAGTGAAGATTACTTTAATAAAGTTAAACCTTATGAAAAAGTCTTATCTAAAGAATTAAGAAATGATATTACTAAATTTTATATGGTTCCTGGATACAAACCACCATATACACCAAGAAATTCAAATAGAAGTTGGGATCGATTAGAACGATTAATCGATTAACGTACCTCTAAAAATTGATCGATTAATGTAGATCATCTCAAAATAGATTGACCGATAAAAAAATAAATTTTATTTTAAATATTTTAAATATTTTTTTTTAAAAATAAACCTTTGTTTTATATTACATCTTTATAAAGTGGCTATTTAATATGAACGCTTATTTTCAGATGTTGGAAATAGCATGACAAATAAACAAACACGCCCTAGGTAATATTCTAATTTTTTTTATTTATTTCTTAACTCTATTTATAAATATTTTGGAACACTAATTATTATGACGCAATAAATGTCAAAAAATTATGACTTGGGTTAAAATTGATAGATCAATAAAAATAATTAAACCAATTAAATGCAAAATTTATATGTTAATCGATTAATTAATCGATTAACCTTATTATAAATTAACCGATTAATTAATCAAACCGTTTAAAATGTAACATGGATTCTATCATAATTAATCAAAGCACATTGCACATTTTGTAAATTGAATTGATAGAAACAGTGTACTCGTGCTCTTACAAATTAGTTGAACAATTGTCAAAAATACTTCATGTATGCGGACGGTCATTAATTATTTATCCTTATCTTGGTACAAAAGCAAAAAAAAAGTTTTTTTGCGAAAAGTAAGAATATATTAATGATGTTCTTTGAATTTAAGCTTTTATATAGAGTTAGCAGAGATGGTAATACAACGCGATCCTTCTGTTGATTACTGTTACTATTAGGATGTTGCGTTTACAATTTTAAGTGCTTGTTAACACCTCATTGCTTTTTCCACTTTGTGAAAGTTCGTTACGAAGAGTCAAAATTTCCTCAATAATTTCCGACGAGAACGTATTAAAAGATGTCATTAATCAGGTTTTTGATCACGAAATCCGTTAACCAACGAATCCAAACATGTGATCAAAATTATAATAGAGTTGGCTGATCAGTGATCACGGATCGCAAAATTTCTAACAATAACCAATTAACACGTTCGTTTTTTCTTATTTTTAAATTGCAATCAAAAAACTCTACTTTTATGTGGGTCAGTAAAATTGGATCACTGATCAAGTTGCACAATTTTGTCATTTAATAATTATCAACTCAAAACCCGTCAAAAATCTGATAAATCAGAAATGAACAGGCTTAATGTGTGTCTAGCGGTACTTTGGCGTTGTAGAATATTGAACGATAACGATTTAGGAATGAAATTATGTAACATCAGGTATATATCCGTTGGTAATGTGTGTGGGTTTGAAACAAGGACCCAAGCAGTGTTGTACATTTTTGATGTCCGCTGCTTTATTTGGTTGTCCCGGACATGTCCGTACTCTGTCCGTACTCTTCTGTGACTTAAAAACTTGGCAAAAATTATATGTATTTATGCGTAATTAGATAATAAGCATTTTTGCTGAGCATCGAAACAGGTTATCATAGTAAAATTTCAAGAGATTATCGTTTCTTTTTTGTGTCATCTGCCCGTCCCGGACATTGTCCGTGACAACACTGCCACGGATTGTATTCGGGTAAACGGGTAACGGGTCGCAGCTCTAAGCCGGCGATCTGCAATATGTCTAAGAATTATCAAACTAATTCTAAATCCATTCTTAATCGATTTCTGGCGATATTTATAATTATTTACATTTGATATGTTATATATTATATAAAGTTATATCTAATTCTAATATAAGTTATATAAGAGATAAGTTATATTAAATATAAGTTATCAGTATAGCAACTATTATTGCCACGTGACTGACGATCTTTGTTCCGATGATGATGCCGATCTCAGTATTTTAATACGAGACTACTAGTTGCGGTGTGTATTCTAAAGAACATAGTTTCATTTGAGATTTCCTTATATATACTGTATGTACAACCACGTACAAAAGAAAATAAAATTTGATCCACGATGAAAAATTTTTTTATGTCGAAGGATTATCTACATAATAAAAAATTTTTTTTTCTGAAATTTTACGTACAGCCATACATATTTGCGCGTGTGTTTCAATATAAAAAAAACTCGATTAACTACTCACAATAAAAATTTTTTTTTTTTTTTTTTTGCAAGAGGCTTGGAATTTTACGTACAGCCATACATATTTATGCATATGATAAATTTTACGCACAGCCATGCATATTTATACACGTGTTTCGAATAATAAAAAGTATATAATCGCAAATGGACGATATAAAAAAAAAATGATTTCTTTTGCAATAAATTTTTTATTTTTAATCATCATCAAAATTTAGATAACAAAGTGACAAGAATAAAGATATTGATAATTGTCTCAAATCTGTCCTCCAATTAATCTTACAAACTGAAGTTCAAATTTCATTTGTAATATTATCTGTTATAGATTAATTATTCTAGCTCAAATCCAATTTCTTCGATTATTATTATTGAAGTATGGAAGAATCCCACCAATTCCATTGTCCCATTATCAGAATCATTACCCAAATATTGCCGATAAATCAATAAAATCAGCAATTTTTAAATTGCTATTATTTATTACCTCAAGAATATAGTTTCATCATCCAGTATATAATTCTCAAAATTAAAATTATTATTAATACATACTTTGAATTTAAATTAAATATTTATATTATTATTCGAATATTATTTATCAATAGAGTATATAAAAATTAATGGTAAAAATCATAAAATGAATACAATTTAAAAATAACATGGAATTGGGATATTCATGGTAGTTAAATATTGACATTGATGCATTCACAGTTCAAAATCAAGGATGATTTAAGAAATATGGACAAAGAATGTCTTTACTTCTAGAGTTGATAAAAATAATTAGTAATTATTTTCAAAACGAGGAGGATAATGATGGCTACATACGAGATGAAGTAGTTTCATGGAATTTAAATTTTGACATTGATCTATAGATGATTTGGAAAATATAGATAAAGATTGCTTCTACTTCTAGAGTTGAAGAATTTTATTTTATTATTGGTTCAGACAATTCTTTAGTTCAAGTATCATCTTAAAAATTTAGATGAGCAAAGTGGCAGAAAACTACTTTAATAATTTTGATTGGGATTAATAATTCTGATAATCATGAAGAGGAAGAAGTTTTGATTATTAATATAGTTGATAAATAATAATTTTATTTTGATCTATAATATAATCCCGTATGAGAATTACATTTCTCAATGCTTCAACTCCATCGAAGCAGAAACTTATAGATCTCCCTACACCTTGGAGATCAATAAATTTGAATTTTCAAGTCACGCACATAGCGATTATTCTAGTTGATCCATTATGCTATTATGGTGTAATCTCCTGATATAATGCAAATGGCACAAGAAACTTTCGAATACAACACAAATTTTTTAATAAACCACAACTGTGATGGAATCATTCTCCTTTTCATCGGATCAAAAAGTTTCAATTATTCATGGAATTAAAATTTTAATATTAATGAGACAATAAATAATTTTATTTTGACTCCAGAGTTCTATGATATAATCCCCTATGAGAATTATATTTCAATCCTATTGAAGAAGTATTGCAGCAATTTATAGATCTCCCTAGTACACCTTGGCAAAAAGATTGTATAAATTTAAATAGATTTTCGTGGAACTCGTGATGGGCTTATGGCTTATAAAGTTTATAATATTTGCCATAACAAATCTCATGTGATCAATAAATTTTGAATTTTCAAGTTACGCACATAGCGATTATTCAAATAATTCTTTTAATATAGATAAACAATTGAACAATAAATGGCACCAATAAAATAAACTAGTGTACTTGTGAGTGAGTTTATTTTAAAAGTATACTAATACTACTAATAAATTAATAAAAGATTTTTTTATAACAATAGATTGTGTTTAGTGAGATTTATAAAAAATTTTATGAGATTTTTTTTTTAATAAGAATAGTTTGGTATAAAAAAATTTTCTAGGATTTTTTTTAATAACAATATATCGGTATAGTACAATAGGGTTAACCATACAATAAATAGATATAATAAAATTTTTGTAATCTTTTTTAATAACAATAAATTGGTATCATATAATATAATAAATTTTTTGGGGATTCTTTCTTTAATACAATAGATATATAATAAAAATTTTCTGGGATTTTTTTAATTACAATAGATCGGTAATGGACAATTAACTTATTAACTAAAGTTAATAATTGTTTTTAGTAAGATTTTTTTTATAGTTCACAGTAACACTAATATTACTATAATAAGACAAAAAAACGAAAATTAAACAAAATGGTGCTTTTTTAGGCATTTATTACACATGAACAACAAATTTAACACGTTTCGTTTTTATAGGCCTAATAAGTAATGATAATAAAAGATTTTTTATAATAGATTACATTTAATAAGGTTAATAAAAAAATATTTTTTTTTTAATAATAGAATGGTATAGTACAATAGATAGATATAATAAAATTTTCTGGGATTTATTTTAATAGCAATTATAGGTATGATAAAATTTTTATGATTATTTTTTTTTAATAACAATAGATCAATACAAAAAATTTTCTGAGACTTTTTAATAGCAATGTATTTAATTCAAATTTTTTACCTGCTATATTTAAAAAGTGATAATCTCTTTTATCACCATTTTTATGATACTATACATATACACAGTGAAATTCGATAAACCGGATCTATCGGTTCCACTAAAAATATCCGGTTTATCGGGATATCCGGTTTAGCGAAAAAATTTCGATATATTGAAAATCTATTATATTGAATTTTTAAAAAATTTTCCTAATAAAACTAATATACACTATAATTTGATTTTTTCATCTAGTTTTAAGTTATAGAGGTCATAAAAATGAATATAAAATATTTTAATTGAATATATAAGTAATACTTAACTTCAAGATTTTTATAATTCCGGCCAAATTTAAGATTTACCGCATCACGTTACTTAAATTTTATTGGTTCTCAGTCACGTGATCCGGTTTATCGAATCATTTTTACTATAGCTGGTTAGAAAATTGATCCGTTATAGCGAATATCGAGCTTTTACTAGTAACTCCGGTATATCGAGCCTATTTTAATATACGTGATTTGGTTCCAGCAAAAAAGTCCGGTTTAGGCCCAAATCCGGTTTATCGAATATCCGGTTTATCGAATTTCACTGTGTATGTGCAGGAGAATGTGGATTTCACGGCTCCCTCATAAATGTTCAATAGATAAAATCTGCACAGAAATTGCATCATGAAATATCTGAAAAGGTTCAAAATGCAACGTTAGATATACTATAAATGTATAATCACAGGGGATTTCGTCCCCTGCTAATAAACAGTTAAACACATTTCTAGTTATCGAGTATGCATAGCTGCTGCTTATAAAATTCTAGATTTTGCTTTTATTAGATCACTACAGTAGTACAGTACGTAAAATAAATAAATATCATTCTTAATGTAGATCAGTAGATGATATTAAATAATTATTAATATTTATATTTCAATTTTTTTTTCTTGAATAGATGATAACTTTATTTCGTAAAGATTAATATCGAAAAATTACGTAATTATATAACGTATACTAAGTCTTTTTTGACATAAAGTAGAAATTATATGTAGACAAATTTGAAAATTTTTGTAACCAAAAATTCTGTCATTTCTGATTGGTTCGGAGAATTTCGTCCGTAATTTTACTTTATAAATATGAGATCTTCAAACTTTAATTTTCTTTTTTTTTTCTCTTGCGTAAAATATTTTTAAAATATTTTTACTTAAAATTTTAGTTAAAAGAAAATGTCCTATAACTTTGAATCTGGTTTATCTAAAGCACTTGAACAGTTACTCAAAATAGAATCATATTATGATGTTATCATTCACGTTGGAAGAGAACCTAATTTTAAGGAATTTCATGCTCATTCTAATATTTTATGCTGTAGGTCCGAATATTTTAATAAAATATTGTCTACTGAAAATATCGAAAAAAAAGATGGGAAATATATAATTAAGGAACCAAATATTTCTTCTCAAGTTTTTGAAATTATTCTTAAGTAAATATCTACGTTATCGAAATTTTCAACCTTTTTTTTTATAAATTAACATATTTTTTCATATTTTCAGGTACCTTTATACTGATCAAATGAATATTGCTAATAAAACCGGGACCGAACTTTTAGATTTAATGATTATTTCTGATAAATTAATGTTGAAAAAATTAGTTAAATTAATCGAAGAATATATTATTGAACATCAACAACGATTCTTACAAAATGATCCAGTCAGAATTCTTCGGATAATTTCCTATTGTAAGGCACTTGTTAATTTGCAAGAACTTTGTTTGAATAAAATTTGTTCAGAACCAGGAATTTTATTCAATTCTGATAAATTTATTCAACTATCCGCTCCTTTATTGGAAATTATTTTACAACGTGATGATTTGAATTTAAATGAGATTGAAATCTGGGAAAATTTAATTAAATGGGGATTAGCACAAGAACAAGTACTTAATCAAGACGTTTCTAAATGGAACAAAGATGATTTTAATATCTTTAAAAGAATACTTTACAAGTTTATTCCTTTGATTAGATTTTACGAAATACCTAGTGAAGATTACTTTAATAAAGTTAAACCTTATGAAAAAGTCTTATCTAAAGAATTAAGAAATGATATTACAAAATTTTATATGGTTCCTGGATACAAACCAATATATACACCAAGAAATTCAAACCGCTTAAAATGTAACATTGATTCTATCATAATTAATCAAGAGCACATTGCACATTTTGTAAATTGGATTGATAGAAAGAAGAAAGAATATATTAATGATGTTCCTTATGAATTCAAGCTTTTATATAGAGCTAGCAGAGATGGTAATACAGCTGCAGCATTTCATACTAAATGTGATAATAAGGGAGCTACCATAGTTATAGTAAAATTTAAAAATTCAGAACAAATAATTGGAGGATATAATCCACTTTTTTGGGATTCAAGTAACAGTGAAAAATCTACAATAGATAGCTTTATTTTCTCAATTGCAGATAAGAATAATTTTCAAAGTGCAAAAGTAGTTTACAGTAATGGTAGTCTATATTCTATACGAAATTATTCACACTGTGGTCCATATTTTGGTTGGAATAATTTATTTGTAAATCTTAGGGATAATCCTGATTTTTGGTATTATTATCACTGTAACTCTGTGAATGTTTCTTATATTGGTGCACTTAATTTACCGAATCAAATTGATGTGGGTGATTTTGAAGTATTTCAAGTTATTAAAAAATAACCAAATTACATAATACATAATTACATGTACCCAATTGTACCATATTTGTTATAAGTTCTTATAATTTTGAATTTAATGTAATAAAAGTCAGATAAACAAGGATACATATATATTATTATCAATCCAAATGTAATCATAATATCTAAAATACTAACTCGTACAATTCATTAAAAATTTCTAGTAAACATATCGGCCGATTGGAAAAGTCTTATTTTTTGGGATTAATTAAAATTTACTATCTCTTAGTTTGTAGGATTTTGCAGGAATATTTGTCTGCTAAAACCATTTATCATCTAAAAATTTAATGTGTAACGCAAACCAAAATGAATTATATATTTTTAGATAGATCTAGTTCCAAATTTTATGTATAGTATTTATCAATGTTATTTTTTACCTAAATAACTAAATAATTACAAACTAAGTTCGTCATATCATGTTAAATAATTTCATTATTTCAAATTTCAAAATTTTTACTTAAACCTGTAATATTTTTTTTGAATGAGTTACATGTTAAGTTTGCGGAACCATGAATTTTGTATAAATTTATTGGCACTATTTTGATTTCATTAGTAAACAATTTATTTCAATATACTGTATAGCAAAAAATTAAATAAAATCAAAAAATTGATTTAACAAATTTACTTGCATCTAGTGATCATAAGAAGAAACTTAGCTCATTGGATTCATCTTATTGAGACAAATCCAATGATGTGAAATCTCTCATACAAAGAATTTTTAATTCATTTTAGAATTTTCTTTATTTTTTTTTAAAAAAAAAAAATCGATAATTTTACAAAAGTAAAGTTATATAATTGATTTACATTGATTAAGGTTTTGTTTATTATAAATTAATAATGCTTACAATGCTTTAGTTTATTTATTTGTTTTGGTAATTTAATAAACCATTTATTTTATTTTATCTATTCATTTTGATCACAATTTAATTTTATTTCATGCAACAACTGACCGGATTGGTCCATATCAGATTCGTAAAATAGTATCTCCAGACTCCAGCTTGGATCAGTAATAATACTGACTGTCAGTATATTCTATCATTGGATACGAAAGAAAATATACCATACAGTACCTCAGGTACTATTCAAAAGTCAACCTAGATTGAATAGTACCCCGGAGGTACTATGTGAGGAGAGGGTACTATACAAGGGATAATTTTGATCAAATATCAAATTTTTGGCATAAATTAACACCGGGTACTAATCAAAAATATCAACATAGCTGAATAATACCAGGGTACTGCTTAAGGGGATTACTTTTTCAAGGGGATGCTGTATGCAGCGCGCTACGATACTGTAGAATTACTAGAATAAATAATATGGCATAAAAAGCCTTGTCAGAGTGTCAGTATGGGTCAAACTTTGCTTGTATGTTTTGTCATTATTTGATGTACTTTTTATTTTAATTTTGTATTTTTGTCCATTATTGATTGATGTTCTGTTTGTTTTGTAAATTTAACATGTGATTGATTTTTTACGAAAAATGTGAATGATCGTATTCATATGAAATAAATTTATAACAATTCCATCCTAATTTTTAATAACGGTGAAGTTAGCCGAAAATTCAGCCGAAGGCGCAGTAAATTTCGGCTAACAACACCCAATCCATTTTGATTGAATAATTTGTTAATTCAACTACTATATTTACGGCTAGTTATTTACGGTTGAACTACATTATTATTTTAAAAAAGCGGTTACAATATTTACCGTTATTATTAATAACGTTTGAATTAGCTGTTTCTAAAATTATTAGAAGCCTGCTAATGCATTGACGAGAGGTGCTATTAAATTATGGAATGAGAAACAAAAGTAAGGCATTTGTAGTATAATTAATTTGAATAATAGTATAATTAAAATAAATTTTGTTTGAACATTTATTATAGCTTAATAAAGTATGAATGATTAATATATTTTATTATTAGTATGTAAATTTAATTGTTAATTTAAAGTTAATAAATAAATTAAATAAATTTAAAAATATATGAAATCATCACATTTTGATGTTGCCTCTGGTTCGCTTTGGTATTATATATTGGCGTTTCTTGCTCTCCTGGATATTTCGGCTAACTACAATATTATTTAAAAAAGTGTATTTAGACGAAAGTTTATTTTATTTTTAAATAGTATGCTAGTATTGATATCAATCATATTGTAATTATGCCGTATTTCTTAATTTTTTTAGTTAATACCTGAATAATCAGGTCGGGTCATAATAAAGATCTCATTCCTTTTTTACTTATCATGCGTACTATTTAATATTACCTTTTATGTTTATAAACATATTTTTTCTTTTTAAATAAATAAATAAAAAAATAAGAAATCATATTCGCAGCGATCAAACTTTTCAGTTTTTTTTAAACCGAATTTTTATTTTTTTTATTTTTTTTTTCAGTTTTTAATTATTTTTTTTTAAACCAAATTTGTTTTTCGGGTTTCAATTTTTTTTTAAAAAAAATTTATAGATTTTTTTTTTAGAAATCAGGAACACGGAACCTTATTTAGTATTCGGAAAGTTAAGTTTCAAAAAGCTTTTAAATTTGCTTTTAGAAACTTTATAGACATTTATTTTTTATATTTTGTAGGAAACGGACTTTTGAAGCCTTGGAAATGTTCTTGTAAGTCCATTGGGTAAAAGGTTTTTATTTGAAACGTTTCTAACGTTTCTTTTTTTTCTTTGTTTTTGTAGAAAACAGCCTTGAAGACCTGGAACTTCCTGGGTAAGTCGTAAGAATGGCGTTCTATTTAGATTTGATTTAAGAAATGTTGTTAATGTTTCTTCTTTTCTTTTGTTTTTGTAGGGAACGGCCTTGAAGACCTGGAACTTATCTGGGTAAGTTGTAAGGGTGGTGTTCTACTCGAATTTGGCTTAACATTTTTTCTTTTCTTCACTTTACGATAGATCTTTGGATCAAAATACAGTTTTTTTAACGATTTTATGTACTATTTCCCTTCTATTATTTATATTGGTATTATTCAACAAATTATTAATGTAAAGTTATCTTCCAAACTATTAATTATAATTTGTACATATAAATTGTGAAAATTGGTTTCGAGTTAAATGTCAAACATGTATTAAACATAGTACTGTATATTAAGCAACCAAAATAAAATAATCAATCATATATATCCTTTCTATAAAATTGTATAGTATTTAAAAATTAAAATTATTTTTTTCAATTTGTTTAACAATCATATTTAAAATATTAAACCTGGCCAAAATTAAAATCGCACCAATTGCATTTTTTAAATTGTACACACTTTTTTTGGATTACTATATTGCACATCCTTAACCTTAACTTATATAGTACTTTGTTGGATGATGAAACAAATCCGCCGATACGTTTTTCATAGTTAGCAGTATGCAGTAGTAATCATATCTTTAAATCGCTTATCATGCAAGATATTGATGATGATTAAAATTACTAGCAATAATGCTAGATGAAATTCGTGGTGTTATGTTATCACACTTATTTAATCAGCTCATTTATTGATCAGATTTCAGGATACACGATTAATGATTTTAATTGACTTGAATAGCGATACCTTATATGGAATCGATTAAAATACAGTATAATGGTAGCAACTACTATGCAGATATTAATGATAATTTTTTATTTTTGAAAAATGCAGCAATTACGAGGACCGGAGGATGGTAATAAAATTCTTTATATATTAAATAGAATCTTTACAAATTGATATTTCTCAATTGAACACTAATTAAGGAATTTCAAATCACAATAATTTTTCATATTCGAAATAATTCATCTTGAAAAGAAAATTAAATAAATAAATATAAAATAAATACATATTATTAGATGGGGAGTAGCTATATCGGTCACAGGACCGAATGATTGGATGAAAATAGACCACGTGGTGGCCATTTTCACCAATCAATGAAGAGCCCTGTGACTGATATAGCCCCACATCCAATAAAAGTGTTATCGTTCTGACGTTTTTGATCAATAAAGCTTTCTATAAATTTCATTTTTATAAGCTTTATTTAAACTTTTCCTACAAAAGATTCATTTACGCCATTTTTTTACTCCGCTTTATTAGTTTATTGTATCAATCATATGTTATTGCTATGGCTAATGAAAATATTGTTCTATGAAAATCTGCATGATCTGAACGATAATAATATATACTGTATAAAAAAAAGTTTTTGGAAAATAATGTTTATATAATAAAAATATTATATCATGCCACCTCGCTATTTGAACCTAGAAAAATACAAATAAAATAACATTAAATCATAAAATATCTTAATTAATTTTAAAAATCTCTAGTATTTATTAATGATGATATTAGCAAAAATATCGTAACAATAATTTTAATTAATTCTTTCTTAAGCAAAAATTTTGATAATATATACATTAAGATCCTGTTTGGAAATTAGATATCCTATTTTCCTCTTATTTATTTAATTTAAAACAAGTACATCAGATGAAGTTTGTGGTACTATATTATCACTCATCTAAATAATGTATTTATTAATCAGATTTCAGAGTACCCAATTTATGATTTTAATTAATTCAAGTTAATTCCTATATATTTATAAAAGTCAAACTAGAATTGATTTACACATAGGGGCTGAGATATTACAAGCAATGACAGTGGTAGTAGGTTCCCTATAAAAAAATTGGATACGTTTTTTATAAAGTTTTTATACGATTTTTTTCCTTAGAAATAACGTATCATAATAGGATACGGAAAAATGCACAATTCCGTATCACTAAAAATATGGGTTGGATACGGAATTTGCACGGAATTCATATGGAATTTACATGATTTGATCACTGATTTTATCACGAAATTTATACGATTTGGTCACTGAATTTACTATTTGTATTACAGTTTATTATAATTATATTTACATAAATCTAATTTTACTTTATTAAATTAAATAAAAAATAAAAAATAAACAAAATACAAATACATTATGAAAATTCC